CCCCAAAACCCCAAAACCCCAAAACCCCAAAACCCCAAAACCCCAAAACCCCAAAACCCCACTCGATTATTATTTTATTGAAAATGGAACTCAAGTAAGAAAACCCTCGATCAATTCTTATTCAGTACTGATACAGTAGTACCAATGGTTTTAACTCTCTGCATAAAATCATCTTACTAGCTAACCTTATTATAGAATTCTAGGTAAATCTCCAACATTTGAACGGAATGTGTCAAACCCAATGAAAGTCTACAATAGACAAGTATTTACACGAAAAATTGTATAGATTTCCACCATTACCAGAAGCTATAAAAAGTCTAAATAAGTCCCATGCATCTCAGAGGAGGAAGAAAAAGGATCAGAAATAAGTACAAAATCAGATGGCAACCAGTAAGCCTTGTTTGGTAATCTATAGCACCCTAAGGATAACGAGGATTACATGACCTTCGATTGCCTTTCACCAGATGTAGGCACCTTCAACTTTCATTAACCACCTATATTTTGAAAATTTCTTATTCCTTATTAATGCCTGAAAATAGCAAACCCAGAGAAATAACTGGAAGATCATTCATGACTTGATTATTCTTAAGTCTTCGAATGAATATAAGAAAATTATTGAAGCCCTCAGGAGGAAGGACGATCAGCCAGCTTACCTGAAACTATTCCTTAAGGCAAGGAATAGAAACCTTAATCCATGAAGAAGTAAGTTTCAGGAATTTATTATATAAATTTGAGCTATCTCACCAAAATCTGGAAAATATTAGAAGTACAAGTTATAGCAGAGTTTTGCCAAGATAAAGTTCCTTGGATCATCCTTTTGGTATAGGTAAAGCAGATAATACCCTAAGCGAGCTCTCCAGAACAGCAAAGGAGGTCTATAAAGTAAACTCATGAATAATTCGTAGATTCGTTATAAAGATGGTAGTAGAAAGAAACGAGTAAAGAAGCCAACAATTGAAAAATCTATGCGCCTTAAAGTAGAAAGAGAAATTATCCCAAAAGCTTCCTTCCTTATGGAGAACTTGGCTCCATTGAGGAAGAAGAATACAATGCAGTTTAATGATCTACCTCTACCTCAGAAAGCAGAATCTGTCAAAAACAAAAGCCTAAGTTCCTGTGAAAGTTCTCAAAGTTATGGAGGATATCAGATCAATATAAAGGCGGATAATGAATTCAAAGTAATACTCCTGACTAATTTAGAGAAGAAATCTCGTGCTTCTATTATACCGAAACAACATGAAGTATTTGTGCCTCAATAACCTCATAGGGACAGAAAGAAATCAAGGATGAGTCGAAAGAGAGTGGAGGAACTTCAAAAGATCCTACTGAGTCCTTAGTCACCTCATCACTGTCAAACACCAGTTCGTATACTTCATCAAAGGTGTCTCGGAATGAAGATTTTCTGAAGGGAAGTGAGCAACAAAAGTTAGAATTCATGAAGATTTGCCACTTAGAAACTTTCACACGGAGAAGAAGCAACCTTGATAATATTAGAACCAAGATCAAGCCTCATAAAGAAATGAAAGCTCGAGTAGCACGTAAATCTAGGAAAACTCTACTTAAATCAGAGTTTTCACAGATGGTGAATGAAATCAGAGGTATGCTTCTTTAATGATTTAATCTAGTCCGTCACAACCTTGTTAGAGGGTCAAAAATTTATAAGAAGAAGACTATTATTAGCAAACTGGGGTTCATAAAGCCACATCGTGTGGGGAATAAGTCTTCCCAGAAGGAGTTTAATGCTCTTCTACGCAAGAATGGGTCAACATTCTTTAGCTCTAAGCAAATGATTAAACCACTGGACTTTATAAAACTCAAGAGGACTAATACGCAAGGTCCGATCGAAGCCAACCCAAAGAATCTTATTGAGAAAGAAAATGAAAAGAAAAATCATCGCAGAGAATCTGTCTCTAACTATAGCATCTTGAGCATCCAGAAGGAGAAGGACCAGATGGCGAATAGGATGAATAGGTAAGCATATCTTGTTGCAAGGAACTTTGTCTATACTTTGAAGGAGCTAAGGTTTTGGTATTTTCGAAGAAATTCAATGCACTTCTAATTTCCATTATGTTAGTATTATTCAGAAGAGCCCTACTCTATCAAGGTACAAGAGAAGATCTACCTTCATGAGCAGACTTCCCCAGACCATTAAGAAAGTAATGAATTTGCAAGTGAGTAAGCCACCTGAAAGGAGGAACTCTTTTCAATCTGGCATATTATCACTCAATCCTAATGGAGAAGACAGTGACGAATTGAGCGCAATTGAGAGTGAAGAAAACTCAGATTCAAAGGAGAAGAACCAATCTACTAAAAAAGAAACCTCCTCCATTACTCCTAAACTAAAAGGGAAGGACAGAAGTAAAGCCTATCAGAGAGCTTACAGGAATCTGAAGCAAAAGTTCTTCAAAGAAATCAAGGTGGAGTAAGTTCACCCCAGCTCATCTTCAGGAACTCTATTGGGAAAGTTGGCGGTCACAGCAATAAGTACCTGTACAAGAAAGATCTTAAGCTGTATGATAAAGATAGTACAAAGATATTTGGGAATACTACTATTGATACTACTTATGTGCATCAGAAGATTGAAGCCCTCAAATCGATAAATGGTATGGATTTTAGGGGAATTTTAGGCAAAATGGTTGGAGATATGATGAAAGTGCTTAGAAATAAGCATAAAAGAAACAAGCATTGCAAAAGAAGACTCCTTTCGGTATAGTGGTTCGGGCGTTTATTTAGATCGAGGATTTTTATTGCTGGTTAATTCAAAGTTTTAGTGTCTTTATAATTACTACTTTCTCATACGCTAAAATTGATTGTAGAGTCATATAAGTCCTAAAATTAGTATCAATACACCAAGCCAGATTCAGGTGTATAAATCGAGGAGAAGGAAGAGACCTCTACAAGCTTCTAAGGAGTTATCGATGAACACCTTTTCTTCTATTAGAAGTATTAGACAGAGCACGAAGTCAAAAATAAATTCGAACATTAAGACAAAGATCGAGACTCCTGCTTCGTATCGCAAAAACTTCAATAGCCCAATACTGAAGCTTTCTCAAAGGAACACTCAGTTCAGCAATGCCATACCAGATTCAGAGGATCAGACTCCTCAGATACGATTTATGAGTGCTCATACGATTGAGAGAAGGCCTATTCAGTCCAGAAATGTTTCAAACATGCATCTCTCCCAATTTTCGCCTATCCATCAGTAAGAATATCTCCTTCAACCTATAGCACTGCAAGGGCTCAACTATTTGCTCTCAAAAAGCTCAAAAAGTGGTAGAATACTTCCTAATTTGTAGCAATCGAGATGAAATAGACAGTAAGAAGTCTCCCAAAGCAGCTGATAGAAGCCATTTGAAGAATGTTTTCTTCTCCCCAACGGTGGAAAAGCTCAAGAAAAAACCAAGAATCATAATTTCAAAAGAGCATACTAAACATTCTATTCTGTCTGAAGGAGCTATTAAATCTTCCCTTTGTTCTAAAGTAAGCTAAGAGACTGATTTTAGAGGAGAGCAGTCAATCCTGCTTTTAGGTGAAAGAAAAAGATTTCAAATGTGAAAAGAAGAATCCTCAGTCCTAAATGAGCTATCAATAATAGTTTATTGCTAAACAAAGACTTGAAGGAGCTTGACCACTATGGTGACTCAAATACAATGTAAGTAACCTTTTTAATTGAATAGTGCTAGTAAGATCATGGAAAACCCAAGATCTACAGACCAAAGTAACACAAGAAGAGATATGGACATTCATGATAGTAAGGTGATATTTATAACTTATCTAGCTTTTGCGATAACTTCTCCAGGCTTAATCTTAGCATAAGTATCTCTTAAAGCCTCATAAAATGATCTATGACTATTTTCTATAATATTTTCCATCATTGTAAAAATTCAATAAGGTGAAAATATCGAGGGGTTTTGGGGTTTTGGGGTTTTGGGGTTTTGGGG